GCAATACTTTTCCTCAGAAGTTACAGGATCAGTAACATTAGGCAAAGTCTCCATTTTCTGTCAGTCATTTTATAGATAGTCGATATTACTGGTTTCTTCTTCGGTGTTTATGTTTATTGTTAGACCAGAGATAGGCATACAGGATAGGTTTATGTAATTTTGGTTGTATGTTGCTGGGAGAGGGGCATTAAGGAGGGAGAATAGAAAGTAGTAGGTTAATGAATATGAATTAATCCCAAGGCAAAGGAAAGTATGGATTAGAATAAACTTTGGCCGTAAAGTAATAGCAGAATTTGTAATCTAGGTAAATTACGTAAGTCTCCTTAGAAGACTCCTCAGATCTGGGTCACATCTATACAGAAGAGAGGAAGCTGATGAATCCAATTTCTGTCTGCTTGTGGGATGCCATTTATTTATGTCAATGATCATGCCTAGAGCCTTTTCAGAGACAGCCCAAGTGAGACACTTGTCTAATTCCTGCTGGGTTCAAGGGAAGAGAAATAGACCCATCTCTTAGCCAGAGGATAGCCTGTTTGTGTATGGGACACTAGGAGAGTTAATTAACCTTTTTCACCCCCAAGTCATGAAAGTCTGAAAGGAAAGGAAGTGCTTCCAAAGAGTATACTTAACAGTGGAGGCTAGGTAGTATTTCAAATCTGTACTTCAAAATAAGACATGTTTATGCTTGTTAAACTGTTTAAACCTTTGGAAAACTAGCAACAGAAAAACATTTTCTTCTTTGCTGCCTTTATTTTCAAATTTTTATTAATTTATTTTTGAGCCAGGGTCTTGCTGGCCTGGAACTTCCTGATGAGCTTAAACTATAGCATTACAGTAGTAGTTCACTTGTCTCTGTCTCCTGAGTGCCGGGAGTACAGGACTCATGATGTTCAGTTTCCTTGAGAAATTGTTTTGCCTGTGGTGTGGAATACATAGTAATTTTAGAATTTGGCGCACTGAGGCAGGAGGATTGACAATTTGAGATCAGCCTGGGCTACATAATGACAAACTGCCTAAAAACAAAAGGAAAAAATGGGTGGTGGTGCCACACACCTTTAATCCTAGCACTTGCGAGGCAGAGGCAGGAAGGTCTCTGTGAGTTTGAGGCCAGTCTGGTCTACAGAGTGAGTTCCAGGACAGCTAGGGCTACATAGAGAAACCGTGTCTCAGAACAAACAACAGCAGCAACAACAAAAAACCAAAATAATAATAAAAAAAAACCCCAAAAACCAAAACCAAAACAACAACAAAAAACCAAGACAACAAAACCAACCAACCAAACAAAAAGAACCCCCCCCCCAAAGAAATCAGACAAACAAAAAACAAAAGAATTGTGAAGGGCCTGGAAAGATGGCTTAATTGTTAAGAGCACTTGCTGTTCTTTCCCAGAACTCATGGCCGCTCACAGATACCTGTAAACTACAGTTCCAGGGCATCTGACACCCTCTTCTGGCTTCTCTAACCAAGCACTCAAGTGATATGTAATGCAGGCACTCACATATACACATACTGTAGTTTTTTTTTAATGAATTGTTTATGTGCTTAGCATCAATTCAGAAATCAATGATTTTCATTTATATACTGCCACAGTCTATTTTAGTTTTATTATATTTTATAGGTATGGTTGGCCTGCATGTGTATATGTGTACTATATGCATGTCGGAAGCTCATGGAAGACTAAAGACAGCGTTGGTCCCCTGGAACTGGAGGCACAGGGGGTTGAGGAGTTCTTTGAGACAGAGATTTACTACATAGCTTAGGCTGGCTTCACTCCCTTGTATTCTAAGCCATCTTCCTGTTTCAGCCTGCCAAGAGCAGAGGTTATGAGTGTGAGATCTGTGCCTGGCTGACTTGGTGTTTTAATGTGTATGTACAAGTGAGGATTTTGTTTTGAGACTATGTAGCCTTGATTGGCCTGGAATTCACTATGTAGACCAGGCTGACCTGAACTCAGAAACCCACCTGCCTCTGCCTCCAGAGTGCAAGAACTCAAGGTGTGCATCACCACACCCACTAGGTTTATATCAAATCTAATCAACCTCTGTTGTTATGTCTCCTCCTGCTTTTCCCTGTGGCCATGATTGTGTGGAGAACGAAGTGCATCTTTGATTGGTGTCTTCTAGTGGCTTTCCAGAGTTTTATACTGCTGTTCATTAAAAAATGCTTTCAACCCAGCTGGGCGTTGGTGGCACACACCTTTAATCCAGAGGCAGGCCAATCTTTGTGAGTTGAGACCAGCCTGGTTTACAGAGTGAGTTCCAGGACAGCCTCCAAAGCCACAGAGAAACCCTGTCTTGAAAAACAAAAAACAAAAAGCTTCCAACCCATAAATATCAGTTTAAGTGAAAAAATTACTTTTCCATAACAAACAAGCAAACACACATAAAATTAGAGTATAATCATTTTTCACATTTGAGAGTGGCTAAACAGAGACAGATGGATTCTTAGTTCTTCTGTATCTAAAAGCTTTGTTGTTGACATTTTGCATTGTTGAACTATAGGCTCCATAGAAACAAACTTGGAGAGGGAGGAGTCTTTTAATAGACTTTAGTCTATAAAAATTATAATTGTGTGTATTCTTTGATACTTTGTCATAATTCTGATAAGTAGTGGTTTTTAAAAAGTTAGCCGCAGTGTGGAATTTGAACACGTTTCAAGGAACTTTCTGTATTCTGTTATGTAGAAATCCATTGGTGTGTTTTGCACTTTGAATGACTTTGTAAACTGCATGATTTTGACCTTGTGGCTGACTCAAAGGGGACACAGAGCCTCTTTGCCTCCCTTCAGGAATGGCTGTTTTGAATCAGGAGGAGATCTTGAGAACTGACTTAGGTTCATGTCTCTCCTGGCCTGGAATAAGAAGGGTGGTTGAAACTAAAGGAGAACTAACCTCCCTGAAGTCAGGCAGCTGGTTACCTTCAGAGCTGTGGCTACGGCACTTCAGAATCCTTCACTGACTTTTATAAATACACGTCTGTGTTTCTGCTGTGCGTGGTGCCAATTCCCTGGGTCCTGCTCTGCTGCATTGCCTTTAGAGAGTTAGTTGTCTACCAAGGCCCTACTACTGGGAGTCTTGAATAGGTTTATTTACTCTTCTCTCTTATTTTGTCTTAAAAGTTTTATTCTCATTTAAGTAAAATGTGTTAGGTGTATCAGTTTAACTTTGTGGCTGCCTTGGTTGTGTCTTAATATGCTTTTAAGTAACTGATATTCACTCCAAAGGCATTTAAGCTTAGTAGGAGTTTGAAGTACTTTGGGAGTGATCAGAGCAGTGGCATTATTCTGTATGGAAAGGGTTTGAAGTAACTTTAGTGATCTCTAGTAGGTTCCTAGAAGACTGGACAGCTTACATGCACTAAACTCTTTTCTTGTCTTGGAATTATATAGAATTATATAAATTCTTCAACTAGTTGGGTTTTTTTTTTAAATCCCCCCCTCCCCCAGGGCATTGCTCAGTGCTATAGACTGAATGTTTTCATGTTTCTTTCATTAAACCCAGGGTTATGTTTATATTTTGTGTGTGTATGTATTTGTGTCTATGTGTATGTAGTACTTCCTAGAATAACAGGCATCTGGGTACCTAAAGATAGTTACTAATTAGACATTTTCTCTAAAGTCAGTTGTGGTGGTTCATAACTATAATTCTTGGACTTGGGAGATGAAGATATTAGGATCTAGAGTTTGAGGATAGCTTTGGCTACATTGCCAGTTGAAGGCCAGCCTGAGCTACTTGAGACCCTGTCTCAAAAAACCATTCCCCACCCCAAACAAAAAAAGGAGGAAGAGCTGGACAGTGGTGGAGCATGCCTTAATCCCAGCACTTGTGAGGCAGGGCCAGGTCGATCACTGTGAGTTGGAATCTAGCCTGGTCCAGGACAGCCAGGACCACACAGAGAAACCCTGTCTCAAACCTCTCCCAACCCCCCAAAAAAGAAGGAGGAAGAAAGAGATGCCCTATGTAATTAACAATAAAGTTATGGGTACTGGGAAGAAATGAAGAAGGAGATGGAGGGAGACGAGAGGAATAGAGGTCTGCTACATAGTATATGTAATATAGCAGATTGGCAAGTGAGGTGGGGAATATGGACAAATGAACACACACGGCCGAAAGATAGTTCCATTTACATTACTGTAGGGCCAGGAGGTAGCCTGTCTGAATTCTTCAGTGGAGGTTTGTAGTATGTAATATGGCTAATGGAATTCAGAAGAGAAGTGAGATTCCGGAAATTGAGAGCACTTTGTAAAGCTTTTTGAAAGATATGGTTGGAACTAGTCTAAGAAACAGAGAAGGAAAAATCTTACTCCTTACAGACATGGCCCCTGAGACCTACACATGAGGCTTCCTACAAGCTTGAGCAGAGTGACAGTATGGTAAACAGTCAGCTTCTCACTAGGTCTAGATCTTGATTCAGTTGATTGGAGAGAGAACTGTCATGTGGTTTATTCCACATAGGAGCATTCCTTATTCTCTAAGTATACCCAGTTCCCTTGATTCAGGGCTTGGCTTCTGATGCTCACTCTTCCAAGTGCCTGCATGGCTTCCATGTGTCCTTTTAGTCTTTGCTCAGTGAGAACTCCCTTGACACCCCAGTGTAAAGTAGCAGGTCCTCCTGACACACAGCAGCCCCTCACACCCCCTGCATTATTTTTCCTCCTTGTTTACCTAGAATAGTGTCTGCAATTATAAATAAATATATGTGTATGTGTAGGTGTGCAGGTATGGGCATAGGAGATGGTTTTCAGGAAACTGGAAGGAGTAAGACAAAGGAGTGGACAAGGGAATTCTAAGCCATCCGGTTTTTATTTAGTGGCTATTACTTCCTTGTTAAAGCAGTCCCTGAGATAGGTGAACTGGACAAACTCAACAAAACATGTACCGAACTAGAATACTCATAGAGAAGATTGAGATTTGGATTTTTGGATTTGTTTTGTTTTGGGAAAGCTTTGCACTCCTAAGTGAAACTTTGGTGATTCTGATTGATCTCTTGTTCTCCTCTTAGGACCCCTACAGTGGACCATGAGCTGGTAATGCCCACTGAGGACTTCTGGGAGCCATGTCAGACGAATCCGCCTCAGGGAGCGATCCAGACCTGGACCCGGATGTGGAGCTGGAGGATGCGGAAGAAGAGGAGGAGGAGGAGGAGGTGGCAGAGGAGGAGCATGACAGGGATGACGAGGAAGGCCTGCTTGATGGTAAGCGCCTCTATTGATAACAGACTGTCGTATCCATATCCTTTTACTAGGTGAATGTGGTATTTCTAGTAGTTGGGTTTTTTGTTTGCTTGTTTGTTTTTGGGTGGGGAGAGATTGGGAGCTGTTGAGACAGTCTTGATCTGTAATAGCTGAGGCTGGCCTAAAGTGCACTGTAGGCCAGGCTAACCATGAGCTAACTTGTTCCTAGGCATATGCCATTATGCCTACGATTTACTGGATTTAGAGAACCGTTCATAGTAAGAAGACATGGCTGAGAACCCAGCCATAGAACTTCTGTGTTCATTCTCAGGAAATGAACGAATGGTTGTTTTTCCAAGTAAACCTTGTCCAGTAGTGGAAAAATGAGAATTTAGCCCATCTTTAACAGAAAGGTAGTCTCAAATCCAGACATTTAAATTTAAAAGTGGAGTATACTCACCCAAGTGATAGAGGAGTCATGGTAGAGTCTCTGTGCTTGAGTCTGCAACCTGAAGTGTGAACTCTCAAGAGTAGTGATGACTACTGAGTGTGAACTCTCAGGTATAGTGATGGCTACTGAGTGTGAACTCTCAGGTATAGTGATGGCTACTGAGTGTGAACTCTCAGGTATAGTGGTGGCTACTGAGTGTGAACTCTCAGGTATAGTGATGGCTACTGAGTGTGAACTCTCAGGTATAGTGATGGCTACTGAGTGTGAACTCTCAGGCATAGTGGTGGCTACTGAGTGTGAACTCAGGCATAGTGATGGCTACTGAGTGTGAACTCTCAGGCATAGTGATGGCTACTGAGTGTGAACTCTCAGGCATAGTGATGGCTACTGAGTGTGAACTCAGGCATAGTGATGGCTACTGAGTGTGAACTCAGGCATAGTGATGACTACTGAGTGTGAACTCAGGTATAGTGGTGGCTACTGAGTGTGAACTCAGGTATAGTGGTGGCTACTGAGTGTGAACTCAGGTATAGTGATGACTACTGAGTGTGAACTCAGGTATAGTGATGACTACTGAGTGTGAACTCTCAGGCATAGTGGTGGCTACTAAGTGTCCTGTGAGACTCCTTTAAAAACAGTTTAAAATTATACTTTCATGTTTGTACATGAGGGAATTGTGTGGATAAAGATTCTCAGAACAGCTGACAGCCCCAGAATGTCCATCATCTGCAGTGCTGGTCACTTGTGACTATAAGTTTCTCCAACTAGAGGGTGACTGCATCTCCATGGCCTTTTAAGCTACCTCTAGATTCCCTCCCTGCCTCCCTCCCTCCCTCCTCTCTTTTTCTTTCTTTCACAGGGTTTCTCTGTGTAGCTCTGGCTGTTCTAGAACTCGCTCTATAGACCAGACTGGTCTCAAATTCATAGAGATCTGTCTACCTCTGCCTCCCAAATGGGATTAAAGGCATAAGCTACCACTGCCTGGTTGGTGAAACTCTTTTGGTAAGTGTATGTACAACATGTTTGTATTCATGTGTCTGTACATGAAGGCTAGAAGTTGACATTGGGCATCTTCTTCAACTTTCTTCACCTTCTTTCTGAGACAGATCTCTCTTTGATTGAGCTAGACAAGCTGGCCCATAAGCCCTAAGGATCCTACTATCTCTGCCTCTGCTGTCCTGAGATTACTGATGAATGCTGCCAGATCCAGCTTTTTTCATGGGTTCAGGGCTTCAAATTTACCTCATGCTTGATCAGCAAGCACTGCCCCATCTTCCCAGCCTTCCACAAACCTTTTCTTTTAGCCTAGGGATAGGTTATCTAGTCGGGCCTAGGTCTTCTCAATTAATTCTGACCTTTTGTGGCTTGTAATACTATTACAGACTACTAATTCACCATGTCAGGAAAACTGAACAGGTTTTGAAGTGTCTGGGGAAGTGTGCTTGATCTTTCAGAGTCTAGGATCATAAGTAGCAGTCCTCTTTCTGCACCAAGTTTAAATTTTCCATTCTCATCTATCCTAACACCTGCTGGATGGTTCAGAAGTCAGTTTTCTTTTCTTTATACTGTCCAAATCTTCTGCTCCAGTTAAACCTTCAGTTCTCTAGGTATCTGCATCATTTTCTGTTCTTTCGTCATGGCTCTCAGAACGGTATTTTTAAACACCCTTAGATATCTGTCAGGTTCAGATGGATGGATTTTAGGTGCTGCTAATGAGTGTAATACATATATACTCACTGTCTTCCTAACTTATTGGAATCTCACTAGGTTCCCTCCTCCCTCCCCCTCTTTCTTTTGAGGTGAGGTCTTTATGAATTTCAGTCTGGCTTCAAACTTGACATCCTCCTGCTTCAACTTCTTGAGGGATTGGATTATAGGTATGTTTCACTGTACCTGGCTTTACTATGGCATTTTATACATGAGGCTCAAATACCTGTGGATTCTATTAACTGCACAACTCTTGGAACCAATGTCCTGAAGATACCAAAGTTTGTACTAAAAATTACATGCCTTTGAAAATGGTATAGATTTTTTTATTTAGAAGTGGCAAGAATTTTACTGTGTTTAAGAATGGTGTAATTTTAATGTGTGTGTGTGTGTGTGGGGGTCTTTTTGTTGTACTAGGGATGGAACCCAGGTCTTGTAATTTTGAGCATGTGCTCTACCACCCAGCCAGCATCCTAAGCCTACCTTTTTTTTTTTTTTTTGCATTAAAAAAAATAAATTATTTTGGGCTAAGCATATAGATGCATGCCTTTAATCTCTACACTCTAGAGGCAGAGCAGCCTAGTTTCCATAGCAACTTCCAGGTCAGCCAGAGTTATATAGCCAGACCCTGCCTTAGATAGACAGATGGACATATACACATACCTTCTATGACTACAATTCTATTATTCACTTTCATCCAAATAATTTTTAATTTTGAATTTCATTATGTATACACACCACATTTTCTATATCCGCTCACCCGTTAATGGGCATCTAGACTGAAAAATATGGAACATCGTGCTAATCTTCTTTCATCTAGATTTTAGTATATATGTTGCCAAAATGAGACAGACTTGATATGTGATATTCCAGATTGGCCCTGAACTTGCTGTGGCTGGCAGTCTAGAATTTACTACTTCTACCTCTACCTCGGTGAATTATGGGATTGTAGGAGTGTACCACCACATACCCAAATAGGTAGAATTTGGGCTGGGGTGGGGGGTCATTTAATTTTTGAAGTTAGAAATTATTTCTATCACTTATAAAGTTCAAAATGATACAGAATGTTTTATTAGATACTGTCTTCTTTTTCTTGTTCAACTAGGGTACCTTGACTTCTTAAGTTTGACTCAAGACCATTTTGTGTTTCACTACAGTATCAGAGCTATATGTACCTTCTTGGAAAGAAAAAGTTGATTTGGTTTGTTGTGTGTGTGGGTGTATATGTGTGTATATGCATGGATGTGTTCTCTCTTGTGTGTGTGTGTGTGTGTGTGTGTGTGTGTGTGTGTGTGTGTGTATGGATGGATGGATGGATGGATGGAAGGATGCTTCCCGTTATTTCTTTCTATCCATTTCCCTCATCTTGGCTGGCCAGGTCTGGGACTCAAAGAAATCCACATGGCCCTGCTGGGATTAAAGGTGTGTGCCAGCATGCTGGAATCTACTTTATTTTTTGAGACAAGGGTGTCTCACTGAAGCTGGAAGCAAATGATTGGCTAGACTGGCTGACTAGTGAGCCCTCAGGATCTTCTAGTCTCCACCTTCCAGCATGGGATTACAGATGTGTCCAGCCACATCCGGCTTTTGAGGGTGGGTGGTTAGGAGCTAAACCAAGGGCTAGGGAGATGACTCGGTGAGTTAACTACTTACTGCATAAGTATGAGATCTGAGTGCAGATCCCCAGCACTCATAACAGTTGGGGCTGGTAAGATGGTAAAGGTATTTGCCGTTAAGCTTGACCACTTGAGTTGGCTCCCCATGACCAACAAAGTGGAAGAAAGAAATGGACTCCTATAAGTTGTCCTTTGACCTCCACATGTGTGCTGTGGCATGTGCATGAACACATAGACCACACTAAATAAATAAAAATGTAAATTTTAAAGTTAAGAAAATAAAATGAGGACTGTCTAGGAGAATCTAGTCTTAGTTGGTATATAATATGGTATACCCTGTGATGATTTTGCTATAGTTCATGGTGTGTAAAGACATTTTTGGTTGTTATGACCTACTGGGTATAGATGTTAGAGTGCTCCTTGGCAACTTGTTGTTAGAGACCAGGAATGCTGGGAAACATCCTATATTACATAGAACAGATCCCCACCCCACCCCAACGCAACCATTATCTGGCCCAAGTGTCAGTAGTACTAAGATTTCTATTTGATATTAATAGCTTACTTTTATATTGTCCTTTGGCCTTGGTGATCTTCACGGTTTTGTTTGTAATTTCTACTTTATAATCTTTTTTCATTATTGAGGTTATCTTGGTTTTCACCCAAACTTTTTTTTTTTTTTTTTTTTTTTTTTTCAAGGCAGGGCTTCTCTGTGTAACAGACGTGGCCATCCTGGAACTCTTGTTTTAAGAATAGGCTGGCCTTGTCAGGCTGGCCTCAAACTCACAGAGATCCACCTGCCTCTGCCTCCTGAATGCTGGGTTTAAAGGTGTGTACCAGCCACTGCCTGACCTTTTTTTTTTTTTTTTAAATGGTGCTGGGGATTGAATTTGAATCCAAGGCTTCGTGAACACTGGCAGGTGCTCTCCCACTGAGCATCATCACTAGTCATTAAACTTCTGTGGATAGTCTGCCTGTGAGACAGGTTTATTCTGTGACTGGGGAGCTGGCCTCAAATTCATTATGTAGTCAGTTTGGCCTTGAATTACAGTGAACCTCCTCTTTCAATTTTCTTGAGTGCTGGGATTACAGATATGCACCATCTCACTCATATTTCTTCTTTCAAAAACGGTGTGTGTGTGCATGTCTGTATGCATGCATGAGCATGTAGTGCCATAAATTGACATGGATGTCTTTTTCCTCAATTGTTTCTTCACCTTGTTTTTTTGAAAGCTCCTATAGTTGTCATC